CACCTCAGTCTTCCAAGCAGCTGGAACTATAGGCGCACGCTACCACACCCGGCTAATTTTTTTCACTTATTGTAGAGATGAGGTCTCGCCAAGTTGCCCGGGCAGGTCTCGAACCCACGGGCTCAGGCAATTCACTCACCTCGGCCTCCCAAAGCGCGGGATTACAGGCTGACCCACCGAGCCCAGCCCAATCTCCTTTATCATTATTTTTCTGTTTAGATTTCCTATTTCTTCATATTGCAATCTCAGTAGTTTGTATGTGCCAAGTAATTTATCTATTTCTATTAAGTTATCCAATTTTTGATGAATAATTGTTTATAATAGTTTTTTATGATTTTTTATGTTTCTATGGTGTCAGTTGAAATGCCTCTTTTTCATTTCTTATTTTATTTGAATCTTTAGTTGTTAGTCTAACTAAAGATTTGCCAAATTTGTTTATCTTTTAAAAAAAACTTACTCTTCATTTTACTTATCTTTTTATTGTTATTTCTAATCTTTATTTCATTGATTTCTGCTTTGATCTTTATTATTTCCTTTTTTTACTAATATTGAGCTTATTTTGTTCTTTTTTTTAGTTACTATAGTTATAACAATAAATTATTTATTTTAAATATTTCTCTTTTTTGTGTTGGCACATATTGCCGAAACTGCTTTTTTAGAACTGCTTTGGCTGTATCTCATAGGTTTTAGTATGTTGTGTTTCCAATTTTTTTCAATCTCAATAAATTTTTAATTTTTCAAAATTTCTTCATATATATCAGTTGGCTGCTCAGGAGCATGTTGTTTAAATTCCCCATATTTGTACATTTTTAAAGTTTATCTTCTATTATTTATCTTTAGTTTCATACCATTGTGATCATAAAAGATATTTATTATGTTTTGCATCTCTTTTAATCTGTTATAACTTATTTCATAGTTTATCATATGATCTATCCTGGGAAATGTTCCATGTGCATTTGAGAATAATGTGTACTCTGGAGCTCTTGGATGGAATATTCTGCATATGTCTATTAGGTCAGTTTGGTCTAGAGTATAGTTAAAGTCCAGTGCTTCCTTATTTATTTTCTGTGTGGCTGATCTGTTCATTACTGATCAGGTGTTGAAGTTCTCTAGTATAATTGAATTATAGTCTATCTTTTCCATCATATCTATTAACCTTTGCCTTATATATTTAGATACTCCAATGTTGAGGGAACACATATTTGCAATTGTTATATCATCTTAATAAATTGGCCTCTTTATCCTTATATAATGGCATTCTTTCTCTCAGTTTTTGGTCTTTGACTTAAAATCTACTTTGTCTCATATAAGTGTAGCTACCCCAACTCTCTTTTGTTTTCTTTTTCATAGCATATCATTATCCATCCCTTCACTTTTAATCTACATGTGTGCTTACAGACAAAATGAATCTCCTCTAGTTAGCATATAGCAGGATCTTGTTTTTATATTCACTCACCCACCCTATATCTTTTGATTGGAGAATGTAATCCTTTTACATTAATGAAATTATTGATAGTTAAGGACTTATTACTGGTATTTTGTTGACTTTTTTCTGGATTTTTTAACTCTCATGGTTTTCATTTTTTCTCCCTTTTGCTGACTTCTTTTGTAATTAGGTGATTTTCTCTAGTGGTGTGCTTTGATAGGTTTTTTTTTTTTTTTTTTGATTACCATCAGGCTTACATTATACATCTTAACAGGCTATTTCATGCTAACAACTTAACTTTCATTACATAAAAAACCTGCTTCTATCCTTTTACTTTCTTCACACATTTTATGTTTCTTTATGTCATGATTTCACCTTTTTATATTATATATCCCTTTTGTTTTATCTTTTAACCTTTATACTAAATTTATGAGTGATTTATCAATCAACATTATAGTATCAGAGCATTTTGAATTTGACTATGTACTTACTTTACCAGTGAGTTTTATACTTTTGTATATTTTTGTGTTACTGATTTGTGTCCTTTTCTTTCAGCTTGAAAAACTTCCCTTAGTTTTTCTTATAAGATAGTTCTGGTGGTGATGAATCCCTCAGCTTTTGTGTATCTGGAAAATTCTTTATATTACTTTCATTTCTGAAGCACAGCTTTGCCAGGTACAGTATTCTTGGCTGCCATTTTTTTTTTCAGTGTTTTACATATATCATCCTTTTCTCTTCTAGTTATGATGTTTCTGCTGAGAAACCTGCTGTTTGCCTTATTGGAACTCACTATTGTGCAATTTGTATTTTTTCCCTAGCTGCTTTCAGGAGTCTATATTTTTTATTTATTGGCCACTTGAACATATGTGCTGTTGTAGTCTTATTTTGATTGAATTTAATTAGAGATATTTGACCTTCACCTTCCTTTACTTAAATACTTGTGACTTTTTCCAGATTAGAAAATGTTTTCACTATTATTTATTTAAATAAGTTTTCTACCTCTCTGTCTGTCTCTTCTCTTTACTTAAAACCTCTAACCTGAATATTTATTTGCTCTTTGATGTTGTCCCATAAATTCCAAGAGTATATGTTTCTTTCTTATTGTTTTTTCTTTTCCTCCTCTAACTGTATATTTTAAAATAAATTATCTTCAAGTTCACTTTTACTTTCTTCTTTTTTATTGTTTTCGTTGTTGATGCTCCCTAGTGCATTTTTCATTTCATCCATTGTGTTTTTCAGCTTGAGAATCTTGATTTGATTTTTGAAAATAATTCTAATGTCTCTGTTAAATTTTTCATTTTGGTCATTTGTTACTTCCCTGATTTCAATGAATTTTTTTCTCTGTATTTTCTTGAAGTTCACTGAGCTTCTTTAAAACAATTATTTTGGATTCTTTATCAGGAAGTTTGTATGTCTCCATTTCTTTTATGTCAGCTACTAGGAGATTATTGTGTTCTTTTGGTGGTGATATGTCTCCTTGGTTTTTCATACTTCTGTTGTCTTATGTGATTTTTGCAAATTTGAATAAGTAGGGACTTAGACTTTGCAAATTGACTTTGTCTGAGAAAGCCCATCACTAGTCAGCCTGTGCAAAGATTCTTGGAAGGTCATCTGCCATGGTCTAAAGGCAGACTTGCTAGCTGAAACCCTTGAATAAGCTTACTCGGTTCCTGAGTCAGCAGGTGGGTGACTGATGCCTGAATTTATGGGACTGGGACTTAAACCTGGATCCACAAGAGATGATCTGGCACTGGGATGGGCCTTGAGCCTGAGTCCACAGTGGCCAATCAACAGCTGGAATTAGCTTGGTGACTTGAGTTGCTGGAGCAGTTCTGGAGCTTGAATCCATAGAAGCTGCCTGGCTATGGGTCTGCAAAGGTAGTTCTGGAGCCTTGCTCCGCAGGCCTGGCCTGGCACTGGGACCTACTTGTTTAGGAATGAACCCTGGGTTCTCTGGACTGTGGGATCACGAGTACCAGCCTAGAACCTAGGACTGTCCTGGTGATGGGCAAGCATGGAGTATAGCTCTGTGTGAGGTGTTCTGGAGCCCAAAATCATGGGTGTTGGCCTGGACACTGAGTCTACAAGGGCAGTACTGGAGCCTGAATCTGTGGGGACATATCCAGTATTTGTGTCTACTGGGGCATACTGGGGCATGCCTGGGGCATGCTGGGGCAAACTGGGGTATGCCTGGATTATGGGTCTTATGGAACAGGCCTGAACCTTGGGTGTGCTAAAGAGTGTGACTGAAGGGACCACATTAGAACTGGGAAACCTGGAACCTAGGGATGCTGAGGCCAGTCTAAAAATGGGAACACAGGGACTAATTGTCCCTAGCCTGACCTAGATCCTGGGGCTGCTGAGGCCAGCCTGGTATTGAGGGAGATCAGAAGCTGAATCCACTGGACAGTCCTGGAGCCTGGGAATATGGGATCCACCTGTCACCAGGGTGGGCTTACAGTCTTAGTGTGCAGGTAGTCTCCTACAACCTGGGACCATAGGGGCTAACCTGGCCTAGAGTCTGGGACCATGAAGGGAACCCTAGTGCTTGGTGTGGTCTGGAGCCTTGAGCCACTGAGATCATCCTGGCATGAAATAAGAGACTGAGACCTCTGAGCAGACCTGGACTCTAGGTGTGCAGACTCTTGCCTGGTTCCTAGTGGGCCTGGAGGCTTAGTCTACAGGTACCAACCTGAAGTCTGGGGCTGTAAGGTATTGTCAAGCACTGGGTGTTACTGGGGCCAGGAGCTGGTATTGAGGTACAAGACAAAATCTGATGCTCATTTCCCTCACCTTCCTCTAGGCAGTGGGTATATCTCTCCATGCTGCGCTGCCTGTGGTTGGGGGAGGATTGGAGTGGGTAACATGAAATGTTCTTTCCTACCCATTTCAACACAAATTTTCTTATTTTGGTGCCACTCTCATGTGTTGCAATATCTCACTTGATTGCCTTAGGTCTTGTGAATATATTTCTGTGCATGGAAAATTCTTCAAACTTGTGAAGGGACAAGCATTGGAAAGTTTTATTCCACTATCTTGCTGATGTTTGTCCTCAATCATCCTGATAATTTCCAAACGATGACCCTCTCTCAGTCAGACATGGTCACTTCTTATTCTGAAGCCACAAAGTATTTGTTCTCATTTATCAAAATTACCCATTTTCCATATTAGCATCCATTCTTGGCAGAGATTATAACCTTGGTTCTATTTATATGTTGGCACATTTATCTGTCCCTTCATAAAGCCTACAAGGTCAGGAAATGTCATATACAACTTCGCATAAAAATTTTCTAAAGGAATAGTTGCTCACTTATTCTCTCTACCTGCTATATTCCAGGCACTGTATTAAAATTTTTACACATATTGACAGGTCATTCGTATCTTTTAATAAATAATGAAACCTGTCCTGAGAGGGGTCAATGTTAATACCAAAAATGAGGTTGAATTTAGGATGGCCTTCCAACTTGTGTTCTTTATCCTCCTATTTGGCAATATAAAGTGATAAAATAGCAAATGAACAACAGAATGAAGAAAGAGTAGCTTCCTAAATCCCTTGCTCTAATGTGCTTTTTAGAGTGACCATAAGAATGACTCATGGATCTTTACCTTGGCCATGCTTCTGAGTAGTACCTTTATCTACAACAGCATGAACACCATCAACCACCAGGCCCTGGAACAGCTGCAGTATCCTTCCAGAAACTGAACCACCATGTCTTATTGAGTTTACAGTTATGACAGCTGAGAGTGTTTCATCTTTCCTGTGACTCGGTTGTCACGGTGAAGGAGGGGCCAGCAGGCAAAAGGGGATGCTTATGCAATTTTATTCTAAGTGAGATCTGGAAATTGTGGTATAGGCACTTTTCCTTCCTTAGCTAAGTTCCCAGCTTTGTCACTGAACTGACAGAGCTAATCAGGGCCAAAGCCTCCTCAACACCTGATGAAGTAGAAGACTCCTTCCAGTTTGTAAGTTTCTTTCCAGATTTTGTTTGGGTTGTACGGGATTTCATACTGGAGCTGGTGATAGATGGACGGTACATCACGGAAGATGAGTACTTGGAGGATGCCTTGAAACTGATTCCAGGTATCAGAGCATGGTCTGGGTTGGGAAAGGTTCACTAGTGGGTAGAATCACCTGAGCCCTGTCATTCAGCACTTGACATAAGTGTTTTTATGAGACTGAATTGAGGCCCATGTTAACAGTGATTGGTGACTTTTTTCTGTGGGTTATTACTTTTAAAATGCAGTGATTCGGCCAGGCCCTGTGGCTCACCCCTATAATCCCAGCACTTTGGGAGGCTAAAGTGGGATGGTCTCTTAAGCCCAGGAGTTTGAGGCCAGCCTAGTCAACATAGTGAGACTTCATCTCTACAAAAAAATGAATATTTAGCCAGGCATGGTGGCACACAACTGTAGTCCTAGCTACTCTGAAGTCTGAGGTGGAAGGTTCACCTGAGCCCAGAAGGTTGAGGCTGTGGTGATATGTGATCATGACACTGTACTTCAGCCTGGGTGATGGAGTAAGACCCCAACTCAAATGAACAAATAAAAATTTTTTAAAAAATTTTAAGTGCAGTAATTGGAATTTAAGCTCACTAAATAAATTTAAGAACTAATGTTGTACCAAACGATTTTAGATTGAGTACCATGAAAAGCAATATCCAGACTGCAATCAGTGCTATAACTTCCTACAGCCAACATACTTTTTGTTCTCTGCTAAGTATTCCTCCTGTTCTATGTTGAGAAAAATAAGTCATCAGGTTGGAAATTGTTAAACAAAATCACAATGTAACTAAAGGACTTTACATTTAAAATATATTTCACTAGTGCTTAATAATTACATCCTTCAGATTAAGGATATTATACAGTAAAAAAAGTCTAGAAAAATATTGACATATCATCCCAGTAAGATTGTCAATCCTTCACTTTATCTTCCTCATAATACCCTCTTCATTCTACAGCCTTACGCAATATGTGATCATTTTGATATCATAAATGTATTACATACATTACATGTATCAGGGTAGGCAATAGATGGAACCTATAAGAAATATTCATTTTTATTTATTCATTCATTTATCCATTATTTTGACAAACATTTGTTGAACACCTGATATGTGCCACGGAGTCATTCTATGTCACTGTCAAGTCTGATATAGCCTGATATATGGAAGTTCTGAGATTCCCAGATTACCATCAGCCTAGCCGTATTCTTTTGAGATTTCAGCTGGATGAATTTAAGTATATTTATTTGTGTATATATTTTTGGCTCATATTTATAAGGGTTTTTCTTACTAGCCTGGGTATCATCAATCCTTTTCCTGATGTTTTCCCCACCAAAATGCTATCCTTTTTTTTCTGGCATTACTTTATTTTAAGGTCTATATTTCATTTATGACGTGTGAATAATAAGATTAGAAAAATGCCCTTACCCTTTTTTTATTAGTCAACCATCCAATTAATATTTATTAAATATGAAACCCATGTGACTCTATACAAGTGCTAAGAATACCCAATGTAAATTTTTTCACTTAAGATGGGTGCTCTTCCCCCCTCCCCGTCAAAAAGCACTTTCTTGACTTTTGACCCTGTTCAGAAATGGATTTCCTTGTCTTTGGTAAATTGGCACAAGGTTTATTTGCATGAAGTAACACATGGTTGGATTAAAGCAAATTTTGCCAGGCTCGGTGGCTCAGCCTGTAATCCCGTGCCTTGGGAGGCTGAGGTGAGTGGATTGCCTGAGCCTGCAGGTTTGAGACCCGCCTAGGCAACTTGGTGAGACCTCATGTCTACAATAAATCAAAAAATTAGCCAGGCATGGCAGCGCGTGCCTGTAGTTCCAACTGCTTGGAAGGCTGAGGCAGAAGTATCGCCAGAGCCCATCAGCTTGAGGCTGCTGTAACTGGAAGCGGCCACTGCACTCCAGTCTGGGCGACACAGTGAGACTCCAACTCAAAAAAAAAAAAAGCAAATCTCAGTAACAGGAACTACAATGATGGAAAGATCTCTGAAAGTGAAAGTACTCAGCCCCCTCCCCCCAAGGCTGGCCCTTCAATGATTGCTATTTCTCCACTCATGCAGGCAAGCATCCCAAAATTAAATACTCCAACATGCCCAGAGAGTGTATCAGGCATTTCTTTCCAAAACGCAAGTGCTTTGTCTTTGACCGGCCAACAAATGACCTAAAAGCCCTGCAGCATTTAGAGAATATATCAGAAGCCAATCTGGATGGAAATTTCCAGATGCAATTAGAAAAGTTCTGTTCTTATATCCTCACCAACGCAAAGACCAAGACCCTGAGAGAAGGAATCATTGTCACTGGGAACCGTGAGTCATCTTTGCCCTAAAACATTCGCTGTGCTTAGTTTGGGTGGTAAAGCTTTGATAACATTCTGATTTGGTTGATAATTTTGTTTATATCTGTATGCAAACATGGAGAAGCAAATGTTTATTTCACAAATAGAAAAGCATGTTTCTTAATTAAATTTTCTCTATATGAGAATTTGCTGAGACCTAATATAGCTTAAGAAGAAGTTAAAGAGAGAATATCTGCACAGTAAGAAATCCTATGGGATAAGTGCTTGTCAGGAAAGTCTAGAAGATATTTTGTGAATTTGCTTCAGTCAGAAAATTAACAGCAGGCCATGAATACCAGCAAACTCACTGAGAGTTTATAAAAATAAGTAAATAAATTTTAAAAATCTTCTGCACATGGCTGACTTCATGGGCATGTAATATGTGCAATCTCACAGTGCCCTGTGCTAAGAAGGATTCATGGTTACTAGATGCTTATGTCACTGTCTTGAAATTCCTGATGATTTCTTTACAAGGGCTCTAACATTTTCATTCAGAGGTGAGTCCCAAAAATATGTAGTTGGTCTCATTCACTGAATTTACTTTGTCTAATCTGCTTCTGATGTTTTAAATTGGAAAGTACTTTTTCCGGGAAACCACTGACTGTATTGGTAGTGATCAGTAATCTAAATGGTAGTGTATGAATTGAAGACCCATAAAAGGAGGAATGATATTTATTATAAAAAATAATAAAGTTATTAGAAAAAGATAGTTAACTTGCTAAACAGGTTTTTGATGATTTTTAAAATGCTAATTTCTAAATCCTGTAAGACGAGTGAGAGCTTTCTATTTTTTTCCTAAATACATGTCATTCAGGACTGGAGACTCTGGTGGTGACCTACGTGAATGCCATCAACAGTGGAGAAGTACCTTGCCTGGAGAACGCGGTGACAACTCTGGCCCTTTTTGAGAACGCAGAAGCTGTGCGGAAGGCAGCCGACCACTACAGCCAACTGATGGCGCAGCGACTGAAGCTCCCCACAGACACGCTCCAGGAACTGCTGAGTGTGCATGCAGTCTGTGAAAGGAAAGCCATCACAGTCTTCATGGAGCGCTCCTTCAAGGATAACAAGCGGGAGTTTCAGGAGCAGTTCATGGTACTTATCTTAGCATATATCCTTCCTGATTCCTGCCCTTTGGAAATGATACTTAGAGCCTACTTCTTTGACCCCACAGTTCAATTCCTTACTTTAGAAGGAGCCTGAAGTCCTATGAGTGACAGGGCTCTATTGGGCAATAGTATACCCTTTTATTAAAAACAGGAACTTATTATTACCTTTCTACTGCTGCATTAAAAATTGATTATCAGAAACAAAGAACAGAGTACCATATGTTCTCACTCATAAGTGGAACTTGAACAATTATAATACTATAAGAAAGCGTTTGGCAATAATGGGAAACTGTCAGGGGAGGGGGGTGGGATTGGCAGTTGAGGGAAACTGCTAGGGGAGGGAGGGGCATACCTCCTCAACAAGGGTACCTGCATAATCAATGTTTCTATACCTAACCCAGAATTGTATCCCACATCTTTATAATAATAAAAAAAGAAAATATATTTTTAAAAACTAACATGAATTTAGCAGTTTAAAGCATCTGGCATGAGGTAGCTGTGAGCTCTCAGAGTATCCCAAGGCTAAAACAAGAGGAACTCTCATTGAGTCCTCATCTGCAGCCTCTGGAGAACCTCCAGCTCATTAAGACCGTTGGCAGAATCTGATCCCTTGGATTGCGATTTGCAAATACAAGAAAAAAACTTCTGTTCCTATATCTTCACACGCTGAAATACTCATTGGAAGAATTCATAGAGAGTTCCAAATTCTGTTCAGAGTACACTTGGGTCATTACTGGGTGATTGATATACTGTGTATACATATAGCAACCCAAGTTTTCTAAGACACCTCTATTGCCAGCCACAATTCAATTACTCTATTACTCTCTGTTAATGGTTGGATTACTGCTCATTATACTATTATGAAGGAAACATGAAATCCCTATTTTCCAGCCCCACAGTTTTGCAGTTTATGTGCCTGGTCCCAAGGGAGTTAAGGGACCTTCTACAAGTCACACAGAAAATCACTCATAATGGAGACTAAAACCAGTCTTCTGATTCCTGGTCTACTGCCACATCCCAGTCCAATCTGAGGCCTCAGATTAATTCTTATGAGAGGATCACATTTGGACCATCCTAACAGCTTCTTCCTATTGAATTTCTCTACATTTCCCTGCAGAATATAATAGAGAAAAAGAAGGAAGGTTTCTTGCTGCAGAATGAAAAGGCATCTGTCAAATATTGCCAGGCTGAACTTGAGCGACTCTCAGAACCCCTGATGGAAAGCATTTCAAGAGGAAATTTTTGTGTTCCTGGAGGGTACAATCTCTACTTAGAAACAAAGAAAAAGATTGAACAAGACTATAAGCTAGTACCCAGAAAAGGAGTTAAGGTGAGAAGTGAGGAGATGGGGCGGCCAGTAAATTAGAGTCAGAGGCTTTGGTCCCTTTGTGAAGATGTAAGACCACAGAACCCTATGTAGGGAGAAAGAAAATCATAATGATATCTCAACATTTTTAGTTTTTTACAACCACAATTAGCCAGATAGTCTTAAAGAGACCAGAAATATTCCTTCCCAAATAAAGGGTGTAGAATGCAAAATTCCAAATTAAGAAGAGCTTTTCTTTACTTTATTAAACAATGTGATTGTTTTTGAGCAAAGCACAATGGATACACAGTTTAAAGAAACATATTTTTTTCCTCAAGATGTTGATGATATTACCTGAGATACAGACAAATAGTCAATTGTATTTGTTGTGACAAGGGATATCATACTGATATAAACATATAGTAAAAATAATGATAAGGATTATGATGATAATAATAGTAATGATAATAATGGATTATTATCCATATTGGATACTATATCATGCATATAGTAAATAGCCTATAGTATGTACTTTTATTTAATTATCAATTTAAACCTCAGAGTAATATGATAAATTAGGTACTTCTGTTATCCACAATATATATTTAAGAAAAGTGATGCACAGATAAAGTTAATAAACTGTCAAAAGTCACACAGCCAGCAAAAGAGAGCCAGTGGAGTGGCTCACAATATTTGACAACCATTCTAAACTAGGAAGGCAGCCTAGGAAAGTTTTCTTAGACAGGACATAGTAGGTATGAGCTGAAGTATGTAGAGATGCTATCCTGGTTAAGAAAGGGTAGTCACACACCCTGGCAGAAAAACAACAGAGAGCACGTGTTTTTAGATACATATAAATCTTTACCCTGGGGTGGGCAGTAGAAGGCTTCACTGTGAGAAGAGCATGAAGAGCTAGAAAGGAGACTAATGGAAGGTTTTAATGGCTCATAAAAGAGTTCAAAACTTGTATTGTGGCCAACAAGGAAAGGAAGCAATGAGAATCTTGAGCAAGATGTAAAATTTCCAGGGCCAGATTTGTGTCTTTGTTGAACAATAATTTCCTCAGCAAGAGACAAGATCTTTGGGGTCTGACCCCTCTTTGCTCCTTCTTGCCAGGAAATGTGGAGCTGGTAGAACAGCTTAGAGGACTGGGCAGCCATTCAGGACTCAGATAGCTGCTGAGGAAAAGTTCCTCAGAGATGGTTCCAGGAGGTATAAGAGAAGTATCAATAGCTTTGTTAAGAAAGGCTAGAAGAGCTTTCAGGCGAAAGAACACGCAAATGCCCATCAACAATGAATAATATGTGTTTATAGAGCTACATATAAGTCTGGCTGACTGTAACGTGCAATGGGTTGTGGGCGGACATCAGTGGACAAGGGGACTGGAGAGCCAAGAAGGAGCTATGGGTGGGAGTTTCCATGTCCTTCCAATAGGCCTGGAATTTATACTGTGGCCATAGAGAAAAGTGATCCACTGCAGGATACTACATTTCTAGAGTCAGATTTGAGGAAATTCCCCAGGAAGAGACTTTGTTGCCTGACATACCTTTGCCCTTTGTTGATTCCTTAGGCAAATGAGGTCTTCCAATACTTCCTGCAGTCTCAGGCAGCAATAGAGGAATCCATCCTACAGTTAGACAAAGCCCTCACTGACGGGGAAAAAGCCTTAGCAGGTGAGTATTCCAAAGGCAAGGCTCAGCTCTCAGAGGGGTGGGTAGGTTCTGCAAAGCCCTCTGACCAGATCTGACAGGAAGACCTTCCTGAAACAAGGAACTTTCTCTCTTTTTTCAAAAAATGCTCTGCTAAATCTGAAAATAACAAAGGGAGTTGGGGGGTCACACATCCAGCCAATCAGTGCCTTTCCATCACATTCTGAAACATCCTGTTGCTGGCATGGCTACTGGGGGAGCTCAGAGATTTCCACCCCCTTGCCATTTTGAAAGTCTGTTTGGTCTCTGAGCTCAAGAGAGTAGAACTCAGATCTGACATTTTCCTCCATCTCTAAAACTCTTTTGGGAAAAGCTGTTTGGGCCAAGAAGAAGGCAGCTGAGAAGGAAACTGAGCTTCTAAGAGAGAAACAGAAGGCGCAGCAGCAAATGATGGAGGATAAAGAGAGAAGCTTCCAGGAAAACATAGCCCAACTGAAAGAGAAAGTAGAGGCAGAAAGGCAATTACTTCTGATGGAGCAGGAGAAGATGCTGAACCACAAGCTGAAGGTAAGCTTGGATGGGGCCTACACCATGCCCATTGGACAAGCCTTGGCTTCTTAGGAAAAGGATACAAAGTTTAAGGAAGTTCATGATCGCAGAGGAAAATCCAAAAGGCATGTGATTCACTAAACTTCAAATCTAATATCTGTATCCCACTGAAGCACATAAGTCTGTAAGGCACAAGCAGTTTCAGTGGTGTTAAAAGAGAAGGAATAGTGTCAGAGTGAAAAATAGCATCCCACAGGATGCTGGGCTAGTGTTTGTATGATTATATGATGGTCTTATTTTACCCCAGCTCAGCAGGGCCTTAGTCCACTAGTTCTTAAGATCCTTGGTACATTAGTCGGGTGCGGTAGCAGGCACCTGCAGTTCCAGCTACTTGGAAGGCTTAGGCAGAAGGATCGCCTGAGCCCAGCAGGTCGAGGCTGCAGTGGCCATGAGCATGCCACTACACTCCAGCTTGGGTGACTGTATGAGACTCCAACTCAAAAAAAAAAGATCTTTGGTATAACCATTAAAGAGACCTGAAATAGATCCATCCAGTCTTGAAATTATCTGGTAAACCTTCATAAATAATATGGGATCCTGAAACTTCTAAAACTTGTAATCTTTGTTTCCAGACCTTCCTGATTCATCCTATACAATAGAATAAAATCTATCCTTTGTCTGAACCTGGAGACTGATAGCCAGTGTTGTGCAGAGTTAGTAGTTTGCATTATTTTACATATGGTCATATTACCTCAACAAAACTGAGAATTAATTAGAATTAAATTAAACCTATATTCCCTCCCAAAGGACATTCTTTTGACTGAATCACATTACTGGGATAGTTCTCAGGTCTGATCTGGTCTCCAATCTTCTCCACCCCACCCACAGTGGGATAGTACTGAAGGAGTCATAAAAAGGTATACATCATGGATAACCCCACTTTTCAGATCTCAAAGTATAAACATTGTGGACAAGCTCAACAAAGAGTACTGTAAATTGGGAGAAGTAAGCACATGTGCCTGGCTGCTAAAGTTGTGAAATACAAAATGTTGACAATTGAGAGTTTTCAAAAGTGAACTGTCTTCTTTTTATAGGTCCAAGAAGAACTACTTACTGAAGGATTTAAAAAGAAATCTGAGGCATTAAATAAAGAGATAAATCAACTACAAAAAGAGATAGAAGCCACCAAAAAGGAAGAATCCTCAGTGTTTTCACAGATCGTTGGTGCAGTTGGCAAAATGGTAATTGCAGCACAACCTGGAGCTGCTAAGCTATGGGATACAAGGATGAAATTATTCAGACCACATTTAAAATAGGCTGACAGTTCCTGTTAAATATACTATAAAAGGCTTCTTTTGCTTTAATAGCATACACGAGGGCTTATTTTTGAACCAAGTATATCATAGTAGTTTCATCCCAGAAAAGCTTGAGAATAGTTACTACTAAAAAATATTAGAGCCTGACATCCAAAAAATTCATACTTACTTTTGGTCAATTTAAAGACATGGGGAAAAAGCTAGAGATAATGAAATTTTTCCTGGAAAAGATGTAAGTAAGACAAAAAGACAAGCGGTAAGATGAGAAAAGCATTTGCAACTTGTGTTACAGACAAGGAGAAAATGTATTTAAGCCAAAATAAGCCTTTATAAATCAATGCAAAGAAGAGAAACAATCACAGTTTTAATGGACAAAAAATATGAGCGAATCAGCATGTTTAACTTTACTGATAATGAAAGACGTGCACAGTAAAGCTCTAAGATTCCTTTCATCTCTAAATGGGCAAAGAGGAACAGTTTTGACAGGACACTGAGCTGACAAGAGTTTGGGGAAACTGACAGTCTCTCATATTGGCTAGTAGTAGTGTGCGATTGTATATACATGTTCAGTGCAAATACCTTTGATCTGGTAAGTTCATGTTTAGGAATACATGTTATAGATTTATTTGCCCTAGTTGACAATAATATATGTAATAGTATATTTGTGAAAAAATTATCATAATGCCAAAAGATTGGAAATAATGTATCTCTCTGTCAGTCCACATAATGTAAAATATAGGACACACGTAGAAAGGAACACACTACTGTCCCTAAAACAAAAGGAAAATCTCTGTTTGTACTAATGTGAGAAAATCTCCAAGATTTATCCTAAGTGAAAAAAGGTTATGGAAAGTTGTTTATTTGCTACCACTGAATTTTAAAAATAATGAATATACAAACATATTATGATCCATATCAAGAAAATACCAAATAAACTGATATCCATGATCGTATCAGGAATAGGCCCGATAGTTGAGGTGAGACAGGAGAGGATACTATTTGTAACCTGTATATTCTTTGATGTCTTTTACATTTTCTATGAATTTACCTAAAAATAAATACAATTACTAAAATTAAAAATGCATAAAATGAGAAAGTTTCTATGACAAGATAATAGTGTTTAATATGACTAAAAATAGCATAAGTCAGCTCAACAAAAATTGGCTTATATTTCCTCCTACCAAAACCACCAGATTGAGAAGTTTTGCCACTGAGCCTGTCCCCAAAAGCTTGTTGATATCACTAAAGGATTTTCCTGAATACTGCAGGTCTAGTAAAGGGGACAAGGAAAGGGATAAGCCCTGCTTTCCCACCAAATCTCCCCAACGTACATGACCAGCAATAGCAATAAGAAACTGCCAACTTGTGTATGTGCACCTGAAATATTCAAGGTTTAGAGATAGAAAGGGATCAGGAGTAAAGTAGAGGGCAATATATGAGAAGGGACCTTCTGGAAACCAGAATTTATTAATAAAAATTGTGTATCGGCTGAGCTCGGTGGCTCAGCCTGTAATCCCAGCACTTTGGGAGGCCAAGATGAGTGGATTGCCTGAGCCCGCGGGTTTAAGACCTGGCCAGGCAACTTGGTGAGACCTCGACTCTACAATAAATCAAAAATGAGCCGGGTGTGGTAGCACACGCCTGCAGTTCCAGCTACTTGGAAGGCTGAGGTGGAAGGATCACCAGAGCCCAGCAGGTTGAGGCTGTGGTGGCCGAGAGGGTGCCACTGCACTCCAGTCTGGGAGACGGAGTGAGACTCCAACTCAAAAAAAAAAATTGTGTATTTATTCCTACATGTTTAAACTTCAGTCACCTTAAAATACTCTGTTTGATGCAATCCGCCTATTGAGATGCTTTTTCCTCTGCTCAAAACAGTTTTTGAACTCACCACTTTGGATGCCTTTTAGTGTTTCTGCAGTTTTTTTCTCACCTCTTCCACATCGGCAAAACATTTCCCTTTGAGGACTTTTTTCATCAACAAAAACAAAAAAAAAAGTCACCCAAGGTGAGATCCAGTGAATAGGGAGGGTAGGGCATGGGGCTCATGTCATTTGGGGTCAAAACCCACTGAAACTCAGTGCGGTGTGTGCGGGTTGCGTAAATTGCCCGTCATGAAATGGGTAAACACATTGAAGAAATCTCCAAAAAAAATTCACTCATAAAATCTGTCAATTATGGAAACCTTGGATATCACAAAGAGTAAGAACATTTAACCAATGTGTCTGTAGGCTGGAGAGGTCCTCTTTCTGAAGTAAAGACTCACCCCAAGATAGACAGAGTAGCTGCTTCTGATGGGGGCTGGCTGGCCTTGGAGTTAGAACAGGGACAGGATCCTCTCTGGAGCAAGGAGAAGCGGTCAGCAGCAAGGCATCAGGTTTCAGTCCTAGGAAACAACACTGCTGGGATGAGGTCCTGGGCCTGCTGTAACTTATACAAGGGTCCTGTTTGCTTCTTCGAACACATCACATCCATTACCCCCACTGCCTTCATTATTTCTACTGACTCTTGTGCCAATCAGCATCTTCTTTGTTATTAGCTCAGAAAAGAATAATTCCTTTGCCAAATCACCAATTCTTAAGTTGATGATTCCAGATTGGGGTAATTCACATGCTCATTAACCCTCCCATCAGTATGAATTGGAGTCAGCATCTACACACCTGCAGCATGCTGCTTATTCTGAAATATTTTAAAGTAAATTACTAAATGGATATAATAATAGTTTGTGTGCTTAGTTGCTTACTAGGATAAAACACCTTTATTGAACCCTACCACTTTATCAAATGCCCCTGGTTTCTGTCCAACCAAAAGGGTTACTTCAAGCCTCCATTCCAAGTAGACTTTTCTACCAGACCTGCCTTAATGTAGTAACTCAACTGTGCGTAGTTAAATACTCATGCATAACAGACTTTTTATAGGCATTGCTTATTTAATATTTGTCTGGCAAATAAACTACCAATGAATTATAATACTGAATATCTATCAGAAAATGATTTTGTAAATAAAATGCTCTTCAAAATGGAAATTACTTTATATTGTACATGTGTTTCTGTATGATTATAAAGCAATTCACAGGTGTTAAAAAATTCACTATACACAAAAAAGTATAAAAATTAAAAATATATAATGATATGAAAGTACTGTCGATATCAGGTCATATAATATTCTACACTTTAATCTTATTACTGATTTTTACAATTTTTTATAAATAGAATTTTCTTACCTGATTGAATTACTCTCAATCACATGCCTAAATTTATCTACTGGCAATAACTTTGGTCATTGTAAAAAGGTTTAGAGGGCAAGCCAGAAATTTAGGTCTTTTATATTCTTGGTAAATATAAAGTCTTACCAACAAAGAACATCCTCTTTAAAGCAATATAGAAAAGAAGGAAATCTGTTTCATTCTTGAGTATGCAGAACCAAATATGTATATTAGTATCTTGTATGTGACTACAAGGTTAGGATGAAATTTCACACTATTTATATATCCAAGCAGATAGGACTTTTTGTTCATCCTTTATATTATTTTTAACCTATATGTAACATGTTTCTTTAAAATCAGTGATGTCCATTTCTCCACAAGAGAGCTTAAGAGCATATCTAGAACTTTGCTATACCTTTCTTCACATAGTTTATCCTACCCTCACACGAAAGTTGAGGTTGCAAGGACTTCTGGCAAGAAGCAGCAGGACAGGTTGGACTGTGAGAGTCTCTGTCAAAGCAAGTTTCCATAAAGACTCTCACTTTCCCCCTGGTAGCTACTGCTGCCACTGCCATCCTGCTCCTCGGCCCCATGCACTGTTCAGTGGCTACCACCACCACCACCACAGTAGCTGCCCCACCTGGGGTGGCGCCCAGCTCCCGACCCTGCGGAACTCTGAGCTCATTCACCAGCTGCATCACCGCACCCCAACCAGAGCGGCCCCACACCATGCCAACCTGCAGCGCCCAGCTGCCTCACACTCTGCCTCCCCCAGCTCAGCCACTGGCCCCTGGCTGTGGTGAGAACAGAGATCAGCTGGAGCCCCGAGACTAGAGACCTGCATTGCCCTGCCCAGCTCCATCCAGCCTCCAACTTGGGACCTAAGGTAATCTCGTCAAACTGGGAGAGACAGAAGCCCCTCCCCCATGCTAGATCGGACACAGACAGGTCAGATCTGAGTGGCAGACTTGACAGACAGGAAGTCGACTGAATGGAGATCTGATCTACCTTCATTCCACAGCAGGCCTAGGGCATCTGACCCTAGCTGTGAGCAACCCTACTAGCCTGTGATGAGAGCTAAAGATCAGAGCTGAAAGGACGTTGGACTTGCAGGAATGACCACAGAGTGAACCTGGTTTCCTGTTTTATTTTATTTTTATTCTCTGTCTGTTTGTTTTACTCGTTTTTTCCTCTTTTCTTTCTCTTCTTACTGTGGTTGATAACGTTTTGTCATTTGCTCTGTTTCTATTATTTTACTGATTTTTTTTCCCCTTTGGACTTCCTATTTGTGTAGGGGAATAGTAAATCATTAGGAAGATTGGTTGACTTGTGTGTTTGTAAGATTGTCTGTATGTTTAAGTTTTCTTTTATTCTTTTCTGTCTTTGTGTTTCATTTCATTTGTTATTCGGTACTTTTATCTGTTTTCCCTCTTATTCTTCTCACTCTCCACCTTTCTCTTACCTCCCATTCCCTGTTCCATTGTTTTCCTTTTTCCTACCTCATTTTGCTTTCAGGAAACAAACATATACCCACACTGCATGGACAGATTGCAGGCAGTGGGAAGTGGGTTCCAGGGTACCCATACAACTGTCGGTGGATACTGGGATCTGCAGACAGAGTTTGAATCACAGCTCCATCCTCAATTAAATATCAAAACTGCAAAAAAGTACAGCCCTCAACCCACAGCCCAGCTTCAGAATTTAATAAACCAGAGGATTCACATAAGAAAAAATAGGAGATTGAGCAATCAGAAGTAAAAGCAACCCTGCCATCCCTGAACATCAGAATTAAAGAAGGGGAGGGAAGAAGGAAAAAAAGGGGAAAAGTGGAGAAGAAAAGCTACACAAATGAAGAAAAACCAAAAGAAAAATATACATCTCATGCAGACCCCTGGGAGACCAGACACTGGGAAAACAGACTTCAGAATGCAAACAATGAAGAGCCCCCAGAATGACTGGTCACATACTATAAACCCAGATATAAAAACATTAATAGAGAGAATAAAAAGAATTGAGAAGAAACAAGAGGATAATAGGAAGGAGTTGATAACTGAGATAACAGCAGTAAAGAATACTGTGATTGAAATAAATAACAACCTAATAAGCATAGAAAGCAGAATTAGCCAAGCAGAAGAATCTCAGAGCTTGAAGAACAAAATATAGAACTAACCCAAACTATCAAAAACAGAAAAGAAGCTTAAAAAGACAGAACAAAACCTTCAAGAGATGAGCGATTATTTCAAGAGACTAAACCTAAGAGTGATTGGACCTCCTGAAGCAGAAAGACAGACAGAGACCACCCTGGGACAAACATTAAATGAAATTATTCAAGAAAACTTCCCTCATCCCATCAGTGATGTGACCATTCAAACACAAGAGATTCAGAGAACTCCTGCAAGACAACAGATGAGAAGACCAACTCCCAGACACATAATAATTTGCCTAAAAAATGTAGTTATAAAAGAAGAAATACCAAGAGTAGTAAGAGATAAAGGTCAGACTGCCTACCAGGGAAGACCAATTAGAATAGCAGCAGATTTATCTACAGAACACTTCAGGCAAGGAGAGCTTGGACCCCAATCTTTAAAGTTCTCAAAGATAAAAAATTTCAACCAAGAATAACCTGCCTAGCTGAGCTAAGCTTCATCAGTGAGGGAGAATTAAAATCTTTCCCAGACATTCAATCCCTAAGACCTTATGCTGCCTCTACACTAGCTCTACAAGAAACACTTGAGAAAGTATTAAACACAGAAGAAAAAGAAAAAACAATGTTCTTCACAAGAGAACAGGAAAAAGATTGAAAACACACATGAATCAACCCAAAAACCAAAAGAAAGACAACAAACAAGCAAGAGCAACAACATCTCTATAAGAACCTCATGACAGGGATAAACCCTCACATTTCAATAGTTAGTCTAATAAGAATGGATTAAATGCACCACTGAAAAGACACAGAATGACAAAATGGATAAAATATCATGAGGCAACAATATATTGTCTCCAAGAGATTAATCTCACCAGAAAGGACACTCACAGACTCAAAGTAAGAGGATGGGAAATAAAATTCCAGGCAAATGGAACACAAAAGAAAGCTGGAGTTGCAATCTTAATCTCAGACAAAATACCCTTTAAGCTATAAAAAATTTAAAAAGATACAGAAGGTCACTAAATAATGATAAAAGGTTCAATCCATCAACAAGAAATATCCATTCTAAACATATATGCATCCAACATGGGAGCACCAACTTTCATAAAGCAGATTCTAGGCAAACACAAAAAAGGTATTGATTCTAACACTATCATAGTTGGGGACTTTAATATCCCACTT